CAAGGAGGAGATCTTCACGGCGACAAGGTTTTCTTGTCTTGAAAGAAATGCAAAAAAAATTGTAAAGAAAACATATAATTAGATGTAATGAAAGATATACTCAACTAGATATTATTAATAAAATGTTAGTCATTTACACATTTGATCCCTCCGAAATTCTATATCTATTTCGACCCAATCATATTGTGATTGATGTTATGTCGTAATTTTACTATTTATAAAAAAAACACTTTTTAAAATATTTTAAGTATAAAACAGTTTAAGAAAATTACTTGGAAAAGAGTCCTTACTTGATTTTAAAAAGAAATTAAAAAAAAACATAATTTAAAAAGACTCAAACAGACAAGTCCTTAAGAAGTTCTTAGTAACACTTCAAACATTTGGTTAATATATACTTTAACTACTTTTTAGGAAAATGATTTAACATTAAAGTATTATACTTTAATACTTGACTTTGAGAAAATAGTTAAATAAAGAAAATTCTTCAACTTTTAAGAAAAGAAAGTTAATTGATTAAACATTTGGATTGAATTACAAGTTATCAAAATTTTAAACAAAATTACACCAATTAAAACTTATTTGAATCGTTTTAAAGCATGAAACTATTTTAAATTAATTGATAAATAAAAACAAGCTTACCTTATGAAAAAAATACTTATAAATAATGATTATTTCAAAATGTGACCAAGTAAAGAAAACTAATTAAATAAAATTATTTAAATAAAATAAATTTTCGTAACAAAAAATGGTTCGTCTTGAAATAAACAAATAAACACAAACAAATAACTAAAGTAATAATGGGCTTGGGCCCAAGTCTAGTTGCTGAAAATAACTTGGGCTTCAGCCAAAATTCATCCCTCAAGAACTGCTGCTGCACGTTGGGCCTTTGGCCTACTTTTGCCTTTGAAAACCTGTGTATACGTTCAGTGTATACCCCAGTATACTAAGAGTATACGGGATGTATATCAGTCCGTTTTCATGTATTCTGCTGTAAACAACCTGTATACAGTCCATTTCTATCTTCAACGTATGTGATTCAGCTTCCCAGATCTGTACAGCAGCTTTCCTTTCTTCAAAAACAATTAAGGTCGACTCGATAAGAAGGATTTAGGCTTTGGTAGACCATCCGAAATGCAAGAAGAATAGATTTGGGTCCAACTTGGACTCCGCACAGTCTCGCATGTAAAGAAAGTAAGAGGAAAGAATTAACAAGACTAATCCAAGATTGTCATTAAACAATTTTACCAATAAAGAAGCAGTAAGCAGACATGGATTCATCAAACTTTAAGACATACGAAAGTATTAATTAATTGAACAACTACTAGCACAAACAACCAAAATACATACTCAAGGATTTCACTGGAAATAGTACTATGAACTCATGGATAGAGATCAACTTTAAATAGGATAAGCATTTGAATATTTGCAGAAGAATTAAATGTATGATGGATCAGCTAATGAATCATGATCTAAAAAATTTATTTACAGTAACTCAAGTACAAGCCAACCATCAGCGAAAATCCAAGGAAAGTAATATAAATCAACAAATATTTAGTGACTTATATCATGCTAAAGTAGTAAAAATCAGTTAAGTTTAAGCTATTATATAAGAAAAATATAACCACTACTCATGATAAACACTGATAGCTAGATAGATTGTTAATAATTCAACACATTCAGTTTTTAAATAGTGACACAAGATAATCAAAGCTAATAATCAATGTTAGCAGTGAGCAAGCTAAAAAAAAACTAAGAAATAAAGGCTTGAATACTACAAGGGATTAAGGGAGAGGGTTCACATACTAACGATTTGATTAATAAACAAACAACATAGGATTCAAACTGTGATTAAAACCATCAGACTTAACAAGACATATCGATTTATACTACAGCAAATCACCACAGAGACTAAACAAGAGATAAAGAGATTTTAAGGGAGAAAAAAGGACTTCGACAGATTCACTACTATCGATTAATATGTAAGCAGAGTGAGAACAAGAATAGAAAATCAATCAACAATTTCAAACTTTACACCGATGAAAACAGCGCGGGCAACGAGAGAAATAACAATAGCATAATAAACTTGAAAGCTACCATCCATAAAGGCTACATCTTTAGAGAACATGAAAGAGGAATTACCTTTTCCAGGGCAGCGAACTTGAACTCGAGCTGCTGGAGACGATCCCACCATCACAATGAGACTCCGACGAGCTTTTTAGCAGTCAGTGAAAAACAAAGAAAAAAATGTATTTCTTCTTTTTAATTTTTGAATTTCTCTCTCAATTTCTACCCTTTGTAGTGAAAACTAAGGAGGCTCTTTATAGAGGGGTGAAAGGGGAGATTTTAAGGGGGAAAACGGATAGATTTGGGATGAATTCGAATTTGAGCTGCAGGGGATGGGAAATCCCTGAAAAGAGGAAAAAGGGGACGGCGAAGTGATTGCTGCAGCTGTACGAATGTACCGTAGCGCCGTTTGGAGCTGCTGCCGATGTGACGGGTCAGAGTCGCAGCTTTTTCCGGATTTGCCGGACTGATACGTCTGGGTTTCGTCCTGGTCGCGTGAAGAAGACGAGTATAGGGCTCGTCGGGTATGGCTATTGTTTGTTGGGTCGAGCGTTGGGTATTTGGTGTTGCTGTTGTATGGAGTAGTTTAGGAGAATTGGGTTGGGTTTCTTGTTTTGGGATGGACTGGGTCTGCTTGCTGGAAACGGGCTGGAGGAATAATTGAAAATGAGCTAAGTGAATTGCAATTGGTCCATTGAATTGTGAACATAACCCAATTGAATTTACTTAGCAAACTTGACTAATAAATAAGTAAGACGAATTAATATAATTAATCAATGAGCTTCTTAATCTTAACAAAATATAATAATTAATTTAATTACAAACTAATTAATTTAAAATTAAAACCATAATTTAGACTAAACTAATTAAATAAAATATTTAACTAAAATAAAATCTTTTGAGATGATTTTCGAATATTCATAAAATGAAATAATTATATACATAATAATTAAAATATATACATGTTTATTATTAAAATTATTAAAAATGACTTGGGAAATATTTTAAATTTTATAAAATTAATTACTTCAAATCGTTTGTAATCGAAGAGGCTCGATGATTAATATACATTGTGGACAGCCAAAATTGGGTGTCAACAGCTGTAACACTAGATAATAGAAAAATCTATATATTATTAAAGTTTTAGTTAAATTTTTCAAAGTTTGTGATATTAGAACTTTACCTAATATTTATGAACTTTGAAAATAAATTAGTTAAATTTTCATATCTATCAATAACAATTTTGACAACAAAATCCAAAGATATTGTACAATAACAAATAACTAACATTTTATTAACTTCAAAGAATCTTTTCGAGATAAATAAATATGTTGAATAGATGTTTGTTATGAAACTAAAGATAAACAATAAAATACGAAAGTAAACAAAAAAGATAGTGTATGACAACAAAAATGACTAACATTTCTAACAGTGAAGTTGAAGCTAGCGACGACAACGGCGATAATGGGTATTCTTTATTTTAACCCTTTAAGAGTTAAAGAAAATGTTTCCTAAAGATAACTTTTTCTTTCTTCTACCAATATAAAAGGACTTCATTTTTCCTCCACTTGGCTCCCCACATTTCCCAATTTTCTATTCACACCTTGCTATAACTCAACATGTATTAACATATAATTGTATGTATTATTGAGTATAATTTCCTATATGTGACAATATAAGTAATTCACTCCAAATTTGAATACATTTATTTCTTATACAAACGAGTGACCAGTGAATTGTTGAAGCAGACAACACTTGATTGTCATGTTTGTTTGCGTATTTGATTTCTGGAGGTTGGTTATTGATAGTAATATTAGTCTTAACATAGCTTCATGATAAATCGAACTTATAGAATACTTTGGGATATTGGAGAAAATATAAAATTTATCTTGTCTGCTAATTTGATGACGGAACCTTTCTTTTGAGATGTCATTAACTTGTTTTGAATAATTGCCTATCACGTTTCTAGAAAGTATTTTATTTTTAAGGAAAAAATTATTACAAACTTCATTAACTATATATAGATGAGATAATATCAGCTTGGTGGATGGGTCAAATACTTTAGCCATAGGCATAATCTAAAACATGGAGAAAGCAAAAAGGAAATTCAATTTTGATGGTTTCTGCTTGATTAATGCATTTGGACTTGCATGGATAACAAAAGGGCGAAAAAAATAAGAGGATGAACGGTGAATCTAACATTCCAAACTCTCTTCTTCCTTGTGAATTCAACAATCGTTCCTTGCAAACCTGAAAGATGAACAAGTATATATGGATCGATTTAAAGGATTTTTTTAGTGCATATTTCAATGTTTAAGATGTCATCTCTAAATTAGAACATTGAATAATTAAAATTATTTATTTTTCAACAGATAGATAATATTATGAGAGTACATATTTAATATAATTTATTAATTATATGAAAATCCATGTTATGAGAGAAATGAAAATGACCGATTGATGAAAAGTCAGAAATATGATCTTTGTAGCCAAACTTAATTATGAATGTATTCTGAGTTTTCAATTTTAATTTTTGAACTTACCTCTACATAAAGTTCAAAATTAAAGTACAATATGCCCATTAAGTCAACATATATTGTTACAAAAAGTAGTTGGTGCTCACTACTCTATCTAAATTAATTTCAAACTTTTTATCCACATACTTCATTATCATATAAGTTATCACTAAGAAGTGTGTCGAAATGATCTATTTCTACCCAAAAATCTCGTATTTAAATTTTGAAAATAAAAATATTTCTTTAGTCTAGTGTGGTATAACTTTTGGTGATTGTTTTTTATCACACAAATCTAAAATATTTCTAGATGAATTTCGAACCCCAAATAATTTACAATGTGGCCATGGGTTGTTGGCAAATTGTGTTAACATAGGCTTGGAGGACACGCACCCAAAAAGAGAAAAGAACATGTCCTCAGTTGACTAATTAAAACACCTTGCTTCCCAAGTTTTCCCACCTCTTCCACCTCCAAAACACACACACACTATATATAAATAGGTTCCCTTACCAATTCCAAAACCAATTCACTCTTTCATCTTCCAAATCATTTTTATTTTTTTTATCCTTGTAGAGAAAAAAGATTCATTTTCTTCAACTTGTCGAAAAAAATGAGGAGAGAAGGTCGCCAACACGGTATGGTCCGTACTTACCCAATTTTACCCTCTCCATGGAACCCAAGACCCGAGCCCAGGTACATGAACAAGTCCAATTCACCACCAACCGCTGGGCTTTTCGCAAAGGTCCCAACTAAGCCCAGTAACCATTCCAAGTTCACCGGCAAGTGCGGTAGACCCAGGTGCACCAGCTGCCATATTCATCCAGCTGGAAAATCCAAAGACAAGACTAAGGGCACACAAAAGATAAAGGGATACGGCGACGTCGTTTCGTTGGTTACTTGGAGAGTTGTTGATGCTAGGCCTGGGTTGAATTTATCTGGATTTTCAGCTACTGGGATTTTGGATCATTTGGATAGCGATTGTTCTTATTACATGGATCATGAAATTTACTATGATGCCGCCGATGAAGGTTACGGAGATCAGGAATTGGTAGTTGACTCCGATTGGTGTCCGGCGATCGGCGTTGAGATTGAGGAGACTGATGAAGAAAAAATGAGTTTATGTGAAGTGGGATTTGTGTGGGAAAATGTTGAAGAAGATGAAGATTGGTGTGTTGTGGAAGGAATCTAATTCGGTTCCTTCCAATTGTATTTGTATTAACCTGTTGCTGAACAAAAAATGTTACATTTCTGTAATTGTATTTACTGTCAAATAAATTGGAACATTCAGATGACATTCGTTTGCAGTTTTTTGTCATATGCATTCACCCTTACAATTTTGATGCTTGAGGTGCTAACTACTTTTCTTATTTTAATTAGTATATTCTCTCTGTCCTATTGTTACGTATTTTGACTCTGGCCCGAAGTTTAAGAAAGAAAAATAAAGGCTTTTAAAACTTCTGATCTAAAAATGAATGATATAAATTAATGTGACTATAAATTATTTTCTTTAAGAGTAAAATAAATATTTTAATATTTGTTACTTGATATAAAATTATATTATTCTTTTTTAGACGGACTAAAAAGGAAAGTAAGTCAATTTGGAGGAACTAGTATTATATATATATATAAGCATCTTTGTAATTGTTGTATGTCAACAAATTAAGATGATAGTGTCGTATAAGAAAATGATTATCCATGACAACTTTTTTTATTGTTATCCTAAAAGATGCACCGCACAACCGACTCATTGCTTCGTCACAGTTTTTACATTGCGTTTCTGTGTTGTCCTCAATTAGTGGCATAATGTACAAACAACCAAACCTTACAGTTTATCGATAAGAATTCCAAGATTCTTGTTGTTCTCCTTTCTTTCATTTCTAGGATGGTATATGTACTTGAATAAGAAAAATTCTTAAAAAGGCACCAAAATAGTGGCCTAGGAAAAATCATGAACTTTTAAGTTTAAATTTGAGCTGCAAAGGCAATTTGAATGTATGAAGAGGACAAAATATTTTTAAAATGACTTGAGAACCTCTCTAGATAGCTTTTTATACAAGATTTTGGAGTTGCTTCTCCTTGAATCATATTAAGGGAAGACACATTCATACACCTCCAAAACATTCATTCTGTTGGAAGAAATACCCAATTGAAACACATTCTAATAAGACACTACTCTTTGCAAGGAGTGAAGATTTGTGAGTTTTTTCAGCTAGTCTTCTTTCTTGGATTCTTGCAAGAGTCATTCTTCGCCAAAGATGAAGAAGCTGGCTTCGAGACTAAGCCTTGCTTTGAGCTGGGAAATGGCATTCTTCCACGTTTGGGCAATTGAGTTTGTGTTACTGGGATCTGCACCAAATAAAACCATATGAACCACTGCCGGAGAAGGGAGAGCATAGATAGGAGCACTAAGGCACACATATATAGAGAAAAGGATTCTGTGATCATAATCAACATTGAGAACAACATAGGATGCATTTTGACAAAGGGGACAAAAGTAGTTTTTAGGAATATCTGAATAATGAAGATATAATACAATGTAGTGGTACCTTTTTTGCGTGATCTTTTGCTGTTTCTGTTTCCTTGTAGAAATCAGGCAGGGGACGAGCTTTGAAGCAAAAGCTTTGTCGAAGTCTCCTAAGTTCCGTTCCTGCTTTCTCCTGCAAGCAAGAGTTTGTTGTTACGAATTTGCAATTTAAGATGTAACTCGAATGTCAGAAATTATGGTAGAGGAAAACTACTCTAGAGGCCCAAGAATACAAAAGATGGTGAAAACTATATTTGTGCATACATATTAGGAAAATATTACTAAAGATAGTGCAAAGCATTTGCATACATTTTTCGGGAAATATTACATAATACTACATGTTAGAAACTTTTATATCTTTTAATATGATATAGAGCTGCTACCTTGTGATTAGTAGAAATCATATGAAAAGCAAAATATGGACGAAAAGAAGAACTGATTACCAGTGGAAAGAGCAAAAGCATCTATTGCTATCCTAATGTTCAGTGGTGGAAAAAGCTCAAAGTTCAAACACTACTTTTCTTTGTTTTCCTTCTTTTCAAATAGGTGCTGCAGAATTCATGGTAAAGAGAAACATTCTACAAGCCATAAAGCTCAAAGTTCAAACACTACCTTTAATGTGGTTTGTTGTTGAACTTTCTTTTCCTCATTGGCATTGAATTTCTCTTCAAGCTTCTGAAAGTATTTGCAGAAGTACAAGATGTGAGTGAAAATAGTTTTATAATGCAAGAAGATAGTCCATAGTATTTAATATATACACTTGCCTGTTTCCTTCGTGTAGCTCTTTCTTCTGTCCTCAAAGAGAAAGGAGTGGATAAAGTTGGTGATTGTAATTTGTTTCGGTAGGCTGTGAAAGACTTGGAACTGAACAGGGAACACCAAATGTAAGTGATATCCAATGACACAATTATATACTCTATAACCAAATACTTGCAGAAAGAAGATTATCACTGTCCTGGTTCATGATAGTTTGACACATCACACACCAATATACTTATAGGTGTAGGAAGATAACTAAATTCAAGTAGAAACAATTTTCTCTCAGATTCTCTTTAAAAAGTCTCCTGGTCCTGGAGAAGTGCTCAAACTGTATCCACTAAAATATACTTATTTTGAGTTATGGCAAAGCCTGGTTACACTTAGCTTGAACTTTCAACCAGCAGTTTTTACACATAAAGCGAAAAACGTTCTGCTACTATTCATTCAAATGTACAAATGATTATGCTACTCTTGTTGAATCTAGGGTCATCATGTAATAGGCACTTACACAGAAGACAAAATGTTCCATTTAGGCCCTGCTGTTCTACTTCCTGAAGCTGAGGGATGAATCGGTGTTTTAATCCTGTAAATAGGAAGATACAAGAATTGGAACAGGAAAGGTGGAAAAACTAAAGAACCATGTGTCAATGGAATCAATGAAATGCTTGCCAACAGTTCTAATTAGACAATATAGGGAAATATACCTTCTGCTTTCTGAAGATGGCGTTGTCATGGGACGGTTTGATGCACCATTTGATGTTGCCTGCAGGTGAAAAGTGAAGCAAACATTAGGCACACCAAGAAAGACTATTATAAGTATTAGCATTTAGAAAAAGGAGCTCAAACAAGGGGAGGAAAGTTACCATAGGAGTCTTAAGAGGAGTTGCACACTGCTTAGATGCCGCCTTGCTAGTAGTGGGAGCAACCTTTGAACTTTCCTTCTTGAGGAAGGGAGGTGGAGGAGGTATCTTGTGTGCCTCTTTGGCAGGAGTAAAGTTGATCAACTTGTTCAAAGATTTTGGGGTTGATCTCACTTCATTCATCAAGTCCAAGTTAGAATTTGTTGTGATTGGTGTAAAATTGTTCTCTTTATCGACATCAAGAAGAATGTTATGCCTAGAAGGCGAAAATGGAAATTTTGATTTTTTGGAGTAGACTGCTGATTTGAATGAAGAAAAAGCAGATTTTTTCTTGCTTGTCACCGATGCAGGATCATCCTCAAGTTTAGAGCTGGAGCTCTGCTGAATCAAATGGGATAAATCAGTTCCATATAGCATTAGAGATTAGTATATGGATCAATCAATACAATGGACTGCCTTGGACTGTTTATAGGAAACAACATCTCAACCTCTGAGGTAGGGGACCTCCCCAAACCCCACTTTATGGATTACACTGGATATGTTGTTGTTTATATGATTCGATCAATCAATTAGGCCTTCATCACAAACTAATTGGGGTCATCTATATAAATCATCTCATAAAGACTAATATACTTTCATAACGCCAGAGTTTCTTAAACTATTGGTATGATTAAAGAAGTTCAAATTTAGGCCAAAGTAGTGTAAAGAACACATATTTACCTTAATCTTCAGCAAAGGCTTCTCAGTATGAGATGTTTCACTAATCTCAGAACCTGAAACTGTTTCTTGGGTTTCACCATTCTCAATTTGGTTTGATGGTTCTTTCTCTGTAGCTTCAGGAGTACCAGGACCCTCCACTGGGGACTCACTCTCTATCTCCTCCGCATCAGCAACTGAAACTGAATCCTTAACCATGGAATCTGTTGTTACAGCATCAGGGTTCTCATGAACCTCTTCTTGATTAGCTTCTACACGGGGTTTTACAAGTGAAGTAGAATCAGGGGCTGAATTCTTGGTGATTTCAGAATTGGGGTTTTCTTGATTGGCTTGTTCAAGCAAAGCTGCAGCCTTTTGGGCAGCAATTTTCTTGTAATGGGCTTCAAAGAAAGCTTTTTTCTGGGCAACAGAACCTGGCTTAGCATACCTCTCAGCCTCCTCTACATATCTTTTATGAGAAAAAGTTGACCATTTTTCCCAATCCAATGACTCAGACACAAATCTCCCAAAAGAAATTGACTCCCCAAGTGCATGCACAGGGTTCCCCTGTATACTCAATTCCATCCCAAAAAATCAGCAAGAAAGGAGAAGAATCTTGAAAAATAAAACAGTGGAGTTTTTATTTATACCTGTTTTATTTCATTGGGTATAGCAGAAGCATAAGAGAAAGCATGTATAAGACAAGCTGAGTCTTCCATCATCAGTGTGGCTAGAAAATAACAAGAATGGAACCTGAAAAAATCAACAGAATAATTATTGTGCCGTTACTTAAAATGATTTTTTATGGCATGTAATCTCTCTTATCTGTCTCTCTGTTTTTGGATCTCAGCATTTAAATTTGAAATTCAAATGTAAAAAAAGCGATACACGTTGTTTGAAGAAAGGCCACTCATAGAGTAAGAAGAAGCTAAAGGTGTCATTTTTTTAAATTTAGGCCAAGTGCTTCGATTTCTGAAATTTCTTTAGACTTCGGCCAAGTGAAACGTTGTCTTTTTCATCTCCAGAATGGGCCCACATTATTTGAACTTAACCCTAGTAACGTTCCAATTTTAATATTTGTGACATTGCTTAACCTATTTAAATATTTATCGAAAAAACAAAAGTTCCACATTTCTCCTAATGTGGTTGTAACAAGTCTTGTTAGTAAAGATAAAAAATATTTGGACACAAAATTAATTTATTTTTTCTCAAAACATACTAAAATAATACAAAAGGTGTTACGTGAAATCAAACGGATGAATTACAAATTTTGAGAAGTCAAAGTTTGGTAAATCCTACGTATATTTTGCTTAATTTGTAGACCAACCATATGGTGGGACCACTTTTTTTTTTTATAGAAAATAAATAAATAGATGAAATGAATTTGACGTCTTACTAATTAAAGAGCAGTAATTCCAGTCTTCCACGAAAATTTAACTCATAATAATGTGATCTGATTCTATAAAATTACGAAGTTATTATTCACAATCTTGATTATAATTTTAGAGATGTCATTGCTGTATCGTTTTCATTTTTAGGAGAAATACATGTTTGTTTGAAGCAACAGATTGTTGCAATGTAAGATGCTACAGATTGTTGAACTACTAGTTGTTATAACATCAATTTTTTCAAGTAAAACTGAAGTAGCTGTTTCACTTTAGGAAATAAGCACACATGAAGAGCCATATCAAGAAGCTATATATATCTTAATCAGCTAACAACACTCTAATTATGTGCTTTGACAAATGCTATTGTAACTATATGAATATTTTTGTATAATAAATCAATAAACAATATCATTAAAATTAATAAATTAAATACGAAAGTTTATTATAGACTGATCATTTTCAATTTAAATACGACCCTACTTTACTAATCATGCGTCTGCTATCGATTGAGACAGTACATGAAAAGGGCTTTTTCAGCTAATAATGTTATCATGCGTTCAAACATATCCTCGTATTTGAATCGAGAAGATGGTATTAAACCGCTCATTTGTAGATTTCAAACATATTTTGTATCGAAAAGATTCACCATAAAATGTCAGTCTACGACAATCTTCCTCCTTTTATCCTAGCTTGAAACTGACAATCAACAATGAGAGCAAACCAATACAAACAGAGTTATAAGATTGATAAACCAACAAAGAAAGATTGTTTAGTACTCCCTCCGTCCCTATTTAGTTGTCCATATTTCCTCTTTTAGTAGTCCATTTTGACAAATCAAGAAAGGACAATGAATTTTTTCCTATTATACCCTTATTTAAATAAAGTTGTCATAAATAAAGTAAATAAACTTATGAACTTCCCAACATTGATTAGTTATCTTGAATGAATTTATTTTGGAATTGTAGATTGTACTATAAGGGTAAAATTGTAACTTCACTATGCTAATCATTGTTGCCTTAATCTGTGTGCCATTTCAAAAATGGACAACTAAATAGGGACGGAGGGAGTAATACAATACATTCTATGTAATCTCACAAGTGGGGTTTGGGGAGGGTAGAGTGTACCCAAACTTTACCCCTACTTCATAGAGATAGAGAGGCATTTCCAGTAGACCATCAACTTAAATAAACTGCCAAACAGGTAGAAAAGGGGATAGATACATATATGCGAGCAATAACAACTTAATGTGAAAGGGAGAGTGTAACGCTGACAAACAAGAGAAGGAACAACAGCAAAAACAAAATAATGCAAATAACCAGAGCACATAGAAAACCAGTGTAAACCGAGATCAAAGAACAAGAAACTATACGAATAGTGTTAATACTACCTAGTGCTAATTGTTTAGTAATATCACTGGAATATGGATAATTTTTGTGGAATTTTCACTCCAAAATAGAAGGAACGAGTACCAAAAAACCACGTTCAATCTCTATCATCATTCCTCTTTTTTCTGATACAGATTAAAGAAGACATTCTAAGATGCCAAAAGTAAAAAAGAAAGAAAAAACGAACTGTTCCTTTCATTCAATCAAGCATGTTCTGCAACACCAACATGCATCCCAAATCAAAATTACAAACAAAGAGCCTCCTTAATGTTCCTTAGAAACTAATGACCTCTTTTGTGTCGCATGTTCAATCTCTAGATCTAGAGTATAGCACACCACAAATTCCGCTGAACATATGATAGCATATCAAGAGCTAGTCTTTGAAATATTTGCAACAGTACAATTTTATGTCACCATTTCACTCTGAGCATATGGGGAGGATGTTTTCCAGCTTAAATAGTGTGGATCAGCCTTCTCATGGCCACGTCTTAAGGTCATCTTCGTCTAGGTGGATCCCGGCTTAGTCCATGTTTCTTCAGAGTTCTGATGTAATTTCTCATAAGGGTGAATTTGTTACTTCCAAGATGGTAGAAGTAGTCCCATGTAAAGATACCAGTCTTATGCAAGTCATCAAACAATAACCTAGGTTGAACCATATAAAGAGAATGAGAAATAACAAAAAGTGAGACTAATTTGTTAAGACACAAATACTTGTTTACTCTTATTACCTCACTCCATAATTTCCAATAGGTTCTGCAGACATAATTCCGACATGACACCTACCAGATATGACCTTAACACACAAGCACATGAATTGGAAAAATTAAAATAGTGCAATATTAAATCCGGTTTGATGATGGAACTCTGTTGCCAGTAAAAAAGAAAACTGAAAGTGTTCCTCTTGTTACCTTCTCACCACAAATCGATCTGATCTTACTATCAACAGCGGGGCTGTATATTCTCAAATACTCAGCTGACAACTTATACAGACTACCATTTTCAAACTCAACCTCCACCTGAAAAGATTCACAAAGTGAAAAGACAAGTCAAACTCACAATGCTGGAAGCCTATAGTAAACAAGTTTACACTTTGCAGAATCCAGATTGATGCAACCAGAGATACATGAAACCAGTCTCCAAAATCCATTAAAGGGACGTGACTATAAGTAGATTCAGGATTTAATTTTTTTTGGAAAGGCAGCACTCTAACATCACCTTTCTCCAACTATATGTGGACTCTTTAAAACCTTTTTTCCGTTCAATACAATCAAATTGTCAAAAGTATTTTCATGAGTTTCATTTAATTCTTCCCCTAGCAAAATAATTTTCTTTGTGAAAAATTGTTAGGAATCTTGTGTGCAGTTTAGAAAATATGGCATTCACATCACACTTGAAACAGGAAACAATAGAAAAAAACATATTTATCCTTCAACAGAATACACAATTAGGGCCTCAAATGTCCAGACGAATTTAAATTGCCTAACTGCCACCTAAAGCTTATAATGCTACTGTGTGCACATCATTATTGACATATCAAAGAAAGGAGTACAGGTTCTATAGTTCCCTAGAACAGGGTGCGCATTCACTTGGTGCCTCAAACACAATCCTTTGAAACTTTATGTATCAATGATGGTGCAGCAAAACCAACTCAATAGTTCCTTCTCAAAATAAAGAAAACAATCGAAGTGACTAGCATGGAGTATTTTCTTAGACAAGCCCGAAAGATGAATGTTTACCATGGAATATTATCCATGTTTTATTGTCAAATAAAATTCCATCAACCCTACATAGTAAATAACACATCTAGTATTGAAGAGGAAGTTGCTCAACTGAACATGAACCAGAATGAGTGAAAGCAATAATTTAGTTATTCACATGTAAATTCATTGCAACAAGTGTAAACTCAAAGCAAGTTAAAATAATCTAACATGATATAACACCATTCATTTGCATAAACATTTTGAAACGGTTCAATAAAATATTCATTGGATTGTTCGGTTATGAGGTAATACCAATTCAGTAAATGCAGTTCCCCACAACAATTCCATAAATTGGTCTTTCTTAAACTGTTGGCAACCATGGGAATCAATTCTTAACCTATATGAAATTCTTGTTGAGCAGAAGTCAGAGGAAATAAGAAAGCTATTGTAATACGAATTTTTTTTATGAGAAGGTAAAGGTCGAAATTTGAAGCCTCCAACATCATGGATTAAGCTAAAACTTTATTTTAAAAGATTTCCTAAATATTGTTATGTGCTGAATAATTACAAGACAAACATACATAAATTCAGGAATCCGCAGAATGAGAACATTACAGGCAAAAATAGGAACTTGAAGCATACAACATCATGGGTAAACCTAGATATTAAGTAAAGAAAATTTTCAAGAAAAACAATCCACTTACAAATTTAGGAGGTTGAAGAGCAAATCTGGTGAGGCGTGGAGAGTCTACTGCGGTGTGTATGCTTCGAACACCTCTCCGGATTACATTCATTTCTTCTCCCTACTATCTCTGTGAGGAGGATCCGAACATCAACAAATTGGGTCGGGTCACGGCTGCCCCATTAATCATTGCAATGATGGGCTGTTAATTCTGGACCCACTACTCTTTAGGGCTTTTAAAGTGTAACTTTATCCGATCGTCCCATTTTGGGACTCTTGTGCCTATTTTTTGTTTTCCTAATAAATCATTAATCTTTTTAAATGGTGACTATCTGACAGTCTAATATTTTATGTGTGAATTTGAGTAATATATGAGCAACTATTAAACACAATTTTAAGTTGTTCGAAAAGCAAAAAAATTCAGAGATATATTTGTACACTTTTAAAAATAGTTTTTAAAGGATCTGCTGGCCTTTAATGATCTTTTTTTTTAACTCAACTTTTTAGAAGAAAAAATATCGGGAATTCTTTTTCTTTTGAGAATTTAATAATTGATGTAATTAATAATTACAAGAATTTCCTTTTCCATTAGATAAAGAGTTTTATTCATCTTTTTATAATTTTTATTTTTGTAGCTTCTTAAAACTTATTTTCTACATTTTCTGTTATATCCTTCCTTCAACTATTGTAGTTGCAGTTATTTTTGTGATTTTAGCTTTTACTTACTGAATTACGTTACATTGTTTTGTGTGCATAATTTCGACTGTTCATAGGTAAATGAGAAATAAAAAGAAAATTTAGGCATGATAATCACTTAACTTATT